GAGCCTCTCATGTCTGATTTTCTGGCTCGGTGTTCTGGTTCCCGCAGATCTGGACGAACGGACGATCAAGGCCATGGCATCTCGGCTACTACACATATGGACCAACAGGCGAACGAGCCTCTGATGTATGATTTCCTCGTTCGGTGTTTCGTTTCCCCGATACCTCAACCTCACAGACGATCAAAACTATGATGTGTGATTTGTTGGCTGGGTGCCTCGTTCCCCCCAAATGTGAACCAACAGGCGATCGAACCATGATTTGATGTCTGAGTTTCTGGTTCGGTGTCTCGGCGCCAAGGGACTTGAACACCGGACGATCGAGGCCATGATGGGTGGTTATTTTGCTCGGTGTCCTGGTTGCCCCACATCTGAGCACTCAGGCGATCGAGCCTCTGATGTCATGTGTCTCGCTCTGTGTCTCGGCTACCCCATGTCTAACCCAAGAGACGATCGCAGTTACGATGTCTGAATTGGTCGGCGCGGTGTTTGGGTTTCCCCAGATCTGGACCCCCAGGCGATCGAGCCTCTGATGTTCGATTTTTCTGGTTCAGATCCCCGGCTCCCCCAGATGTGAACCAGCTCACGATCGTGGCTATGATGCGCGTATTTGGCTCGGTGTGTCGGCTTCCCCAGATTCGAACCAAAAGGCGATCGAGCTTCTCATGTCTGACTGTCTGGCTCGGTGCCCTGGTTCCCGCACATCTTGACGAACCTGGACGAACAGACGATCGAGGCCATGATGTCTGATCCTCTGGCTCGGCGTCTCGGCTACTTCACATCTGGACCAACAGGCGATCGAGCCTCTGATGTCTGATTTCTGGCTTGGTGCCTCGGCCCCCGGACCAACAGACAGTCCTCATGTTGTTCGCTGGATTTCTGGGCTTCCCAAATCTGAACCAGCACGCGATCAGGCTTCTGGTTTTGTCGTTCGGCGCCCCCAGATCTCAAACAACAGATCACAGAGGCTATGCTGATGTGTTGGTTCGGTGGCCCAGTCCGCCACATCTGAACGAACAGGCGATCGAGCCTCGGATCTCCTATTTCCTCGCCCTATTTCACGCCGCGACCTGGACCTCAACCAAGAAACGATGGAGGCCATGATGCGCGATGCATCCCCATTCAGTTTTTTTGCCCGCATGCAGGCAGCACGAAGGTGACAAACAGGCGGGAGGGTCATCCGAAAACTGGTTCAGAAAAAAACAATTGTTTCACATGCATTCTGGGCCCCACCATGCGGTGATGCATCCTCCTGGAATACGTTTCCCGCATGAAGCAGGCACCACGCAGGTGACCCACAGGCGGGCAGATCACCCGAAAGCTGGTTGAGAAAAAACAATTGTGTCACTTGCATTCTGGGACACAACATAAGGTGATGTATTCCAATTCGATTCACTTCCCGCATCAAGCAGGCACCACGCAGGTGACCCACAAGCGGGTGGGTTACCGGGAAACTGGTTCAGAAAAAAACCGTGTGTCACTTGCATTCTGGGCCCCAACACGCACATTTCCCGCATGAAGCAAGCACCACGCAGGACACCTACAGAAGGGTGGGTCACCCGAAAACTGGTGGAGAAAATCCAATGAATTCACCTGCATTCTGGGCCCCACCGTGATGCATTCCCATTCAACGCATTTCCCGTATGAAGCAGACACCACACAGGTGTGGTGTGTCACCCGAAAAGTGGTTGAGAAAATCAAATGGTTTCACCTGCATCCTGGGCTCCAACATGTGGTATGGATATCCATCCGTTGCATCTCTTGCATGAAATAGGCACTACGCAGGTGACCCACAGGCGGGTGGGTCATCCGAAGACTGGCTGAGAAAAGACGGTTGTTTCCATTCGCATTCTCAGGAACCTCTCATTGGTTCAGAACCCTCCAAGGGTCTCTCAAGGGCAACTATAGGATATATATATATATATATATATATATATATATGTTATAAACAAGTACCGCCCCCCCTGGCAGCGGGTCCCACACCTCCCCGCCACATCTCGGGAACGCTCCCGGTACCGCTCCCCCAGCCTTTCTGGAGAGCCTCCACAGCGCTCCAGGAGGGCGCAAGACGCCTCCCAGGAGCCCCCAGAATGCGAAAGGATGGCCCGAGACGCTCCCAAGCAGCCCAAGTCAGCCTTCCGACGGCTCTCGAGGCTCCCAGGTGGCCTCCAAGAGAGCGTCCCGGGACGGCCCGAAGATGCCAAAATCGTAGATTGTCATTGGCTTCTCCCGTTTTCGAACTTCCAGAGAGACGTCAGGACGGCCCCGGGACGGGCCAAGACCACCCAAGAGACCCGCAGGACGGCCCCACGACGGGCCAAGAAGGCTCCAAGACTTCCGAAGAGGCGCCCAGGACAGCCCCAAACCACCCCAGAACAGGCCCAAAATGGGCCCAAGAGCGGGAGCAGGAGGCTTCCTGAGACCTCCGAGAAGCGTCCGGGACCCCCAGAGGCCCCCAACACACCCCCGATCCCTGAGAGGCCCCAAAAAGACCCCGACGAGG